GCTGGGCTGGGCATTGCTCCTCCTGCCTAGGGCAGAGATGAGCCGGGGGGAGAGGGGGAAGGGTGGTAGTGTCCTGGATTTCCTCAAAAGTAGTATGGTCACCCTATGAAGTACAAACTTCCTTATGTTAGTTTGCCATTGTGCCCCACAGTAAGGAGAGGTCATTCTGTTTCATTCCTTGGTTCTTCTGAGACTGACAGCAAGGACACTGTAGGGAAGTTTTTTGTGTTGTACTCAACTATCCTCTAAGAATTGGGATTAAGACTAATTTCACATAGGCTACCAAGCATGTAATAGATGCTAATGCTCTTAGCCCTAGATCCTATTCACCAATTAATTATATGAGACTTAACTGTTTGCCCAAAAAATATATACCTCACCTCAGAAGGATGATCCTACTCTCCACAGGGAACTGTATTGTGTTCCCATTGTCTTATATACTTATGCCCTGTTAGGATTCAGCTCACAGAGAGGGGAGACATCTGACAACACCTTTGACTTCAGGATAAAGTAAAGCACAGTTCCAACATGTATCCATCTTTTTCTTAAAGGTTAGGGTGCTTGCTCATGGGGTGGGAAACCTGGGGCATTTCTACATGTGCTGTGGGGAGGGAGGGGAAGGTGCTTTAATTAGAGCAGCTCTGAGAGCCTTTCTAATTAAAGTGCCGCAGCATCTCATGTATCAGCATCCCTGCATTTCAAAATGATGGCATTAATTAAAACTAATCGAATGAGCTTTAGTTAAAGCACCTCTGCCACCATTTTGAAGCACGGAAATGCTGATACATGAGACATGGAGGCTGGCTGAAGTGCCATAATTACCACACTCCAGCAGACTTGGTTAATCTGAGTCTGCTCTGACATGCTGTAATTACAACACATCAGAGCAGCGTCCACAGGCACCCCTGGGTTCTAAACCCTACCCAACCTCAAGGGGTTAAACTCATTTCTCAGGAAAGTGCTCTATCCATCAAAAGATAAGCTAATCAGGACTGAAGACATTCTCCAGCTCTCCCATTGACATTGAGCCAGTAGATGGAAAAGAAACAATAGTAACGGGGCCACAAGGACAGCTTGCAACAGGGAACCTGACTTTGTAACCCAGTAAGTGGGGCATTTACTGGGGAGGCATGAGCCTCCCAGGTCTGGTTCCTAGTCCTAGTGCTGTTTATACATTTTGCATTAAAAAGTCATTGTGTAAAATGCATAAATAGAATTTAGAGCAGGAACCAGAACCCAGGGGCACATCCACCTTCCAGGGGAATGTCCACCTCATTAGGCCACAGAGTCACATTCCCTCTTGCTTTTTGTCTGTCTGGTGCTGTAAACCTTTCATATGCCTTCCCCAGGATCTTTTCAGACCTAAAAGGAGGTACATAATAAATCTTGGAATAAAGGGGGTGAGGGGGGAGAGGTTGGCTGATGCATATAATGGAATATGATTGTACTTAGTGGCTTGGACTCTTGAGTGCCACATAAGTGCCACTTAGATATCTTAAGACAGAATAGGATTGAGGCTTGAATTACTACCACATTGGACCAGGTTCCAAGTGTGTCTGTGTTATGCCTGATCATGGACAACCAGGTCTGGGGCCACTTGGGAATCAAGTCGCCAGCTAGGGTCAAGAGGAACAAGCAGATTCTAGAAATAAGCCAGGTCAGGAAGCCAGGAGGTCAGTCCAAGTACACGGTCTAAGAACAGCCAAGTCAAGAAGCTGGGGATCAGGCAAGAGTAAGCCAGGTCAAGAAACTAGGAGATCAAGCAGAGAAAGGAGTCAGAGCACATGCCAGAGAGCAACAAGGCAGCCTGGGATCAGAGCTACATACAGACATTCAGGTTTTTCCTGGGAGTTTACAGTGTACAGATGTTCAGGATTTTTCTCCCAGAGCAAAAATGGCTGCTCCGGGAGAAAAGTAATCTGGGAACAACTAGGGTTAAATCACTTTTAGGAGAGCTTTTCTTGCAAGAGTGAATATCTGTAGACATACTTGTCTAAGAGACGCCACAGCACAATCATTCACCATCCCAGGGTGCTCTGCTTCCCAGAGGACAGTATGTTGTTTAGGGTGGACTGATGTTCCAGCCAAGCAGGTTGCAGAATGTGGCCCCTTCACTTCCCACATTGTGCTGCAGGGAGACAGAGCCTGGGAGACAGCCTGGGTCAGCCAATCAGAGATGTCCTGTGTACTACTGCCATTCGTTACTAGATAGCCTGAAAGAACCTACAAAGCATGCTGACATGTGTGCATTAGGGTGCTGGCTGCACAGTATTAGCACTGCAGATTCTCTGCTGTTCAAGGGCTCAGCACTTGAATGTCCATTCAGGTGTCTCCAATAAGTTTTTCTACCAGGAGAAAAAAATCCAGGCAAATTCTCCCAGATCATTTGAACATGCGTACACAGCCCAGATTGAACTCTGTTGACCAGGGACTCCTGTTCTGGATCAGGGGTTTATATGGGGGCATTGGAGGTTCAGTCGATCCTGGCCAGCCCCTCTGGTGCCTGTGAGTGGGCAGAGGACTAGGCACTGTTGCAGGCTTCAGGACAGCCTTGACCAGCATCAGTGACTGACTACCTCTAAGGTGGCAGGACAGACTAAGTGACTGTGCTGGTCAAGCTGAGCCCCCAGGTTTTTGGCTGTGGTCTGGCAGTCTGTGAAGTAGCATGCCATATTATGCTATTACTATTCTCCTGAACAATCCAGATCCATCTTGTCATATCATCACACATACAGTCTATCACTTTGCTGTTTCTCTCTGAAGTAGTGTCTGTGCTGCAGTCGAATGTGAGTGACCACATTCTAGAGTGCCAAATTTCCATTCAGCTGTACATGGTAGGCAAAATTGCTCTGTAATAGCACCCCTAGAGATATCTCTTGGGTCTGTTTACCCATAAAACTTCTCTCCAGATTTTCAGGGGCTAGCCAGAATCTGTGGAATGATGTCCTTCAAGAAGTAAATGCAACTACAAAAGTCACCAGCTTTTTCTCCAAGTGCCAGGAACATTTTTTCAACTCTGACTTTTGTAA